CATTTGGGACATCTTTGACCTCCGCCTCATGGGGACCAGCCTCGTGCTGATCTTTCTAAGAGAAATTGTTCAAGCACCCAGACACTATGGCAGAGAGATCCAACAGATCTACCATCTCAGAATCATAGTACTGGAGGACATCAGAGTCAGTTGGCACAAGAAAATACATAAAAACCTTGTTCCTCATCCTACATTGGTGAGTAAATGACTGGGGTCTTAAAAGCTTTCAAGCAGCCATCTAAGATGCATCTAATGATCTCCTGTGTCAGAAGTGAAGAAGCGTGCAAAAAAAAAAAAACAAAAAAACCCCAAGGACATTTGGAAGCAATCAGCCCTAGGACATGATGGCCCTCAAGACCAGAAGAACTAGATGATGGCCGGCTACCAATGCTAGCCACTCAGGAGAGGACCAAATCTGGAGATCCTGGATAGAGTGGGAGGAAAAACGTGGAACAAAATCCAAAAACTCAATAATGACCAGAATTACTGGTCAGATGGAGTCTGGGATACATTCTGGGGCTGGAATAAAACTCACTCTGAGGGCCTCTCTCTCAGCCCAATAGCTAGCAAGATGTACATGCAGACCACTCAACCCATTATGACGCACCCACATACTCTATAGAAATGCATCCCTTGGAGCAATAGACCACGGGGCACCAGAGGGGCAACATTCACATGGAGGAAATGCAGGCCAAACAGGAGTGCATAATTATGAGGATTACTGGGCAGGGAGGGGAGGAGACTAGGTTAGTGTTGGGCATGGTAAATGGGGAGTGAAACTAAATGTACACTTATCGTTGAATGTAAAACAAACTCTTAAAATTAAAAAAAAAAAAATTTTAAAAAGCAGTACTTGCAGATACTCCAAAACATATTTAATCTAATAATACAAAAAAAAAAAAAAAAAAAAAAACAGCACAGAAAAATATTTAAAAATCAATCAATAAATATTGCAGTCTGCAGTATGAGTTACACCTCAATATAAAGAAAACAAAAATCCTCATAACTGGTCCAGTAAACAGCTTCATGATGGATGGAGATAAGATTGAAGTTGTCAAGGACTTCATATTGCTTGGTTCTACAATCAACACCAATGGAAGCAGCAGTCAAGAGATCAGATGATGTATTGCATTGGGCAGATTTGCTGCAAAGGACCTTTTTCAAGTGATGAAGAGCAAAGGTTTCCTTGAAGAATGTGTGCCTAACCCAAACCATGGTATTTTCAATTGCCTCTTACATATGTGAGAGCTGGATAGTGAATAAGGAAGACTGAAGACGAGTTGATACTTTTGATTTGTGGTGTTGGAGAAGATTGCAAAGAGTACCATGGACTGCTGAGAGGACTAACAAATATGCCCTGGAAGAAGTGCAGCCAGAATGCTGCTGAAAAGCTCTTTTAAGTGTTTAAGAGGAAAGATGTCACTTTGAAGACTAAGGTACACCTAGTCCAAGCCTCTGTCTTTTCTTTAATTTCATATGTATGTGAAAACTGGACGGTGTGTAAAGAAGACTGCAGAAGAACTGATGCATTTGAATTGTGGCGGTAGCAAAGAATATTGAGTATACCATACATATTCAAAAGAATGAACAAGTCTGTCTTAGAAGATGTGCAGCAATAATGCTTGTTAGAAGTAAGAATGGCCAGATTTCATCTCTTAGAGTTAGGCATGTTATCAGGAGGGACTAGTCCCTTGGGAAGGATATCATGCTAGATAAAATAGAGGGTCAGCTAAAAAGAGGAAGACCCTTATTGGGATGGATTGACACAGTAGCTGCAACAGTGGACTGATGGATGGCAGTGATTATGAGGATGGTACAGGACCAGGCGTTGTTTCCTTCTGTTGTATGTAATGTTATAAGTTGAAACTGACTTGCTGGCCCCAACAGCAACAACAGTGATCCTTTAATTTATCATATTGTGATTATTATTATTATTATTATTATTGTCAGGGGAAATATTCTTACATATAGTGGGAAAATTCTATATTTGGCCAAAATCATTCTGCCGGTACCCTCACGTTTGCATTAAACAAACCAGGGAAAAGTGGGAAGGAAACCATTTCTGAACACCTATCAAGAAATAAACTTAGCAAAGACAAGCCTAATTAGGTCTGATATTTCCAGAATCTTAGAGGAACACTGATGAAAGAATCCAAAATCTTGAACATACCAAATCAAAAGCAAACTCACTGCCATTGAGTCAATTCTGACCCATAGTGACCCTATAGGACAGAGTAGAACTGCACCATAGGGTTTTCAAAGCTGTAAATGTTTACAGAAGTAGATTGTCTCATTTTTCTCCAGCAGAGCAGCTGAGTATGAACTGCCAACCTCTGGTTAGCAGCTGATTACCTTAACCATGGTGCCATCAGAGCTCCTTAACTTGAAGGTAGTACAATTGAAATGATCAATCCTGAGGAGCAAATAGAGTGAAGGAAAGTTAACAGAGCCTAAGGGACTTGTGAGATGCTACCAAGAAGACCAACATATACATTATGAGAGTCCCAAATGGATTGAAAGGATAGGTAAAGGTATAGATTGATAGATAGATATGTGATGAAACAAATATAGCAAAATGCTAATGGTAGAATATAGGTGTAGGGTGTATAGATGCTCATTGTAAAATTCTTTCAACTTTTTAATGTGTGAAAGTTAATTGAATTTTGAAAAAATATTAGAATGAGATCATTTTGTACTTTATCATATTCTTTGTTGAAGTAAAATTCAGAATACTTGATACATTGATACATTGCAGTCTTATTATTACATAAAACCCTCTGTTAATGGAAAATGATAGTTGTAATCCTCCATATAGTGAGGTCAGCCTCTGGATCCTATGGTGTGAACCTTTAGGATGGTATAAAAATAAATCTCTGGAACCTGAGATCAAGACCTGGATTCGTCACCAACTAACTTTGTAACTTTGGAACGTTATTTCAGGTGTCTTGAGCCTCTCTAATTCCTCATCTTTGGGAGAAAACATTGATCTGAGTGTCATGGTATTTGGAAAAGTACCAGTCCTAGATGTTCATCTCTCTTACAGAACATTACTTATAACTGATACTTAGAAAACAAATCTATTTCCCCTTTAAATTTTGGTACACATTTTTGGAATCTTATCACATTAAATCAAAGTTCTTGTGTGTAGATGTATAAGGGTAGGTCTTAATGTTAAAAGTTCATGTAAATGTGCACAATGATACAGCTGGACAATGGCTCTTGATAACACCTATCAAGAAATAAACTTAGTGATGATGTGCTGGTAAATGTTGGTTCTCACAAAGAAAAGGAAAGAGGGAGAGGCTTTTTCAGTGGTGGAGATATTCCCAGCATGGCTAACCCAAGCTCCAAAGGTGCTACAACTAGATGTGGAGTTGTGAAGAGATGTGTAACTACCTCTGGCTATACTAGTATGTTTGTTATGTTATAGTCTATTTTTTATTCTTTAGGAAAGTTCACTTTTGTACAATCAATACGTCTTATATAGCTGGTTAAAATTTCTGTATTGTTATTGTGTGTCATTGTGCCAGTTGTGACTCAAAGAGATCCTGTAGGACAGAATAGAACTGCCCCATGTAGTTTCCAAGGCTATAATCTTCGTGGGAGCAGATTTCTAGGTCTTTTCTGCCATAAAGCTTCTGTTGGATTCAAACCACTTACCTTTCAGTGGCAGCTGAGTGCTTAAACATCATGCTATTAGGCTCCTTTAAACTATCTATAAAAACCAAAACCAAACTCACTGATGTTAAGTTGAATCTGAGTCATAGCAACCCTTCCTTGGGTTTCCAAGGTGGTAGGTATATCTACGGAAGTAGATTGCCTAATCTTCCTTCTGAGGAGTAGCTGGTGGGTTTGAACCATCAGCCTTCTGGTTAGCACTTAGGCACTACACCACCAGAGCTCCCAAACTATCTATAGATGCATACATTTTGGGTATTTTTTGGAAAAAAATATTGATTAAGAATATAGAAGTTATTTATAAACTTTATTATGTTTTCTGTCCTGATTAAGAGATTTTTTTTTGGTCAGTTAATTTTGTTGTGCTCAAAGATAGGTGACCCTGTATAATGTATTCACAGGTTTCAAAGGAAAGTCTGAAATCAGTGATGATCATTTGAAATGTGACTCTATTGTGAGTCAAGCTCATGTGAGGCTCAGTAGAGTTTTCTCTTTTCCTTTTAGGCATTTTTGCTGCCTTCCTGTGACATAGCTATAACGAGAAAAGTGGTGCAAGTATACAGAAAGTGGATCCTGCAGGACAAACCTGTGTTCATGGAGGAGCCAGATAAAAAAGACATTGCCCAGGAAAATGCTGAAAAATTAGGATTTTCAGAGACTGAAAGCAAGGAGGTAATATTTTATCATTTATCACTTGAGTTGGGAGTATGTATATATTAGCAAAATATATCTGCTAAATCAAGCATCTCAGTCGGTAGTACATATGCAGACTAACTCTTTTTTTAAAATCCTATCTGCTGCTCTCAAGTTGCTCAGTTCTGTAAGGACCTGTTTCAGTGAGGCAGCTTCTGTGCTGTACTTCAGAGTGCCATCCTAAAACCATCAGACTAGGGCCACATACCCATTACAGCTTTATTAATGATTATTACATGAAAGTTGTTTCATAAACCATCATATATTACACGTTTTTGAGTGAGACTGAAAAGTGACACTGTCTTGTTCTTGGAAGGGAGCTCTCGTAGCATAGTGCCTGAGGCATTTGACTGCTAACCAGAAGGCTGGTGGTTCAAACCCACCAGCCGCTCCTCGGAAGGAGGATTGGCCAATCTGCTTCCGTAGAGTTACCGTCTTGGAAACCCAAGGAGGGGTTGCTATGAGTTGGATCTGACTAGATGGCAGTGAGTTTGGTTTTTTTGTTATTGTTGTTCTTGGAATGTTTAAATAAACAGCATTGGAGAAGTTTAGAATGTTTTGGCAGACTTTTTTTGTGTGGTGGACAGTGCCCAAAATAGTTGAGCTGTATATTTGAAAGGACTACTAAGTAAATAACAAGTGTTGTCTACTGTTGGCCTCATTGTGGGACTGGGCACTGTCTTCTAGAGTGGGCACTCTCAGAATTTATGTTATACTCAATGTTAGATAAAGCTAGAGGTGGAATAAATATAAAATGACTATTTTAAAACTAGTTTGATAAATTATTTCTAAAAGTAGATGTTTGCTTAACAGCAAACGTTTAAAAATATTTGTAACAAAGGCATATATACTTCTAAATATATGAATTCTGTAATTTAAATTTTCAATATTGGTGATACCATTTTAATAACTAGTCATGAGGTCAAATTGCATAGATATGCATGTTTAGTCATTGGATAAACATTTATATTTTATGTATTGGAGGTGGAGTGGTGAACAAAGCAGACAAAAAGCCTTGTACTCCTAGAACCTGTATTCTCATGACTTCTACTGAGTGCAAAAAATTAAATATGTGAACTTGTGATTCATCCCACTCTGTTACCTGGTGGTTATTTCCTAAAGGCATCATCTGAAAGTTCCGGTCATAAGCGATCTTCCAGTTGGGGGCGAACATACTCCTTCACGAGTGCGGTGAACAGAGGTTGTGTAATAGAAGAGGAAAGTAGGAACGTAAAAGCTGGTGCCCAGGTTATGCTACAGGTATGCAGCCGGGTCAGAGACATGAAGAAACCTAGATTAGAGTCATTGTGAACATTTTGTTTATTGGGGATAATATCATATTAAGTGTCACAGTACTTTTAGCCATTTCTTGGTAAAGAGCTGTTAAATTCTCATTCCAAGTTTTCTTCCTAATTTCTCACATACAATTGTTAAAGATTTTTTTTTTTTCCTAGTTAAAGGAGATAAGAACTGGTTGTAATTTTTTGAGAGGGATTACTATATAGTGAATGTGAAATGACTGAGATTTAAATCTTAAAAACATCTTCATGACACATTTGGGTAATATATGAACTCTAATTTGAAAGACAAGCTTGGTGATTATCTAAGCTTATGAGTAATATTTCTCTTGAAAATTGCCTATTGTAAGCAATATTTATGCATCTGACTGCTGTATGAAGAATAAGGATTAATGCTATAGATTTTAGAAATTTATGTGAATGAATATATGAAATAGAAATGATACCAATTGGGAACATTGGAAAGAGCAGCTTTAGCTCATCACTTAATTTTCCCAGATTTCAGTCTTTTTCTCAGAAATAAGTATTGGGAGATTACTTATTTAGTCTGATCCAGCTTTTAAGTTACTAGGAATATAAGTGAAAACAAGGTGCCTCTTTTCCCCAGTTCCCTATTATCAATACTCAAGTTCATAGCTGTGTCCAGTTAGGCCTTTTAGACAGAGGCCTGGTGTATAGTCTTGGAGAAAGCATGTAAGTAGGTTGCTCAGCTCTTTTGTTTTAAATTGTGATTTGGGTGAAAGTTTACAGAGCAAATTCACTTTCCGTATAGGAATTCACATACATGTTGTCTCATGACATTGAGTACAATTTATCCCAATGCATCAGCTCCCCTCCCACTTCCTCCTAATAGTTACCTCTTCCCTGTGTCCATCCTTCCATGCATTCCTGCCCCCTCAATTATCGTCCTGTGCATAAACAACCCTTCTTTCTCCCATGATTATTCTCTCCAAGAAGTGTATCTAATTTAGGTACATTTTTAACTCATATGCCTGTCTTTTGGTTGGCTGGAAGCCACAGGTGTGGGTTCAATTCCAGACCTGAAGGGCAGCTAGGGACCATAGTCTCAGTGGTCCCACCAGGCTGTATCAGACTAGCAAACCTGGTCTCTCCTTTTTTTTTTTTTTCTTTTCAAATCATTTTGAGTTTTGTTCCACATTGTTCTCCCTCTCTATCCAGGATCTCCTCCATAGATCCCCCTCTGACTGGTTGACAGTGGTAGCCGGGCACCAACTAGTTCTTCTGGCCTCACAGTTTTATAGGCTGAGGATCATATGGTGTACCAGTCATGAGGACTAATTATTTCCATGAATCTTTGATTTTCTTCATTCTTATTTGCTCTAGACAAGAGAGACCCATCGTTGCATCTAGATGGCTGCTTGAAAGCTTTTAAGATCCCAGTCGCTACTCGCCAAAGTAGGAGATGGAACAATGTTTTGTGTAGTATGTTATGCCAATTGAGCTTGATCCCCCTGTGACTATGGTCCCAAGCCCACAGGTTCAATGACTTGGTCCCTCTGGGTAGCTGGCTGTGACCAAGAAGTAACTATGACCTTGTCCCTTGTCAGCTCTACTACACCCCTGGGAATTCTTACAGAACATAAAAATACACTTGTAGAACTATTGTCTGCCAACCCTATACATGGTCCTGGGTACACTCGCTGTTGCATAGACATACCTAATAGTTCACCCTGCCCACCCATCTATCCACCCATATACTGTGTTTGCCTTCACTGGCAATGCAGTACTGTATGTGTAAAAGGGTTCATCTTAGTTGTCTGCACCTCCATTGTACCTCTTTATGTCCTCCTCTTACTCATTGCCACCATGTTGATCACTGACATTTGGTACATTGCCCTTCTCTTCACCCAAATCAATACTTATCTCTACCTATCTAACAGTGTTCCATCCCCTCCCCTCCCAACCCTGGTAACCAACAAAGAAAATTTCCTTCCATGTATAAACCATTCTTTGACTTTTATAATAATGCACTAATATAATATTTGTCCTTCTGTGATTGACTTATTTCATTCAGCATAATGTCCTCCAAGTTCGTCTACGTTATGCGATGTTTTGCAGATTCTAGATTATCCATTCCTCAGCTGATAGACTCCTAGGTTGTTTCCATCTTTTGGCTATTGTAAATAGTGCTGCGATGAACATGGGTGTGCATATGTCTATTCTTGTTATGACTCTCACTTCTTTAGGATATATACCTAGTAATGGAATGGCTGGGTCAAATGGTATTTCTAATTCCCACTTTTTAAGGAATCGCCATACTGCTTTCCACAATGGTTGTACCATTTTACAGTCTCACCAGTAGTGTAGGGGAGTCCCAATCTCTCCACATCCTCGTCAGCATTTGTTATTTTCTGTATTGTTGAATTTCGCTGCTAGTACTGGGGCAAGATGGTATCTCATTGTTTGTTGGCCATCTGAATATCCTCCTTGGTGAAGTGTCTATTCATGTCTTCTGCCCATTTTTTAATTGGATTGTTTGTCTTTTTGTTATTGTTGGAGTGTTCTATAAATTCTAGAGATAAGTCCCTTGTCAGATATGTTACTACCAAATATTTTTTCCCAATCTGTAGGTTCTCTTTTGACTCTTTTGGAGAAGTCTTTGGAAGCACATAAAAATTTAATTTTTAGAAGTTTCCATTCATCTGGTTTCTCTTCTGCTGTTTGTGTATTTTGGGTTATGCTTGATAGTCTATTTATGCCATATATTAGGGCCCCTAAATTTGCCCCTAGTTTTTCCTTGAGGAACCCTGTAGTTTCAGGTTTCATATTTAAGTCTTTGATCCATCTGGAGTTAGTTTTTGTCTATGGTGTGTGAGGTACAGATCTTGTTGTTTTTTCCTGCAAATGGATATCCAGTTTTGCCAGCACCATTTATTATACAAACATTCTCTTCCCCATTCATTGGATTTAGGCACTTTGTCAAAGATCAGCTGACCTTAGGGCAATGGATGTATTCCTCAGTTCTCAATTCTATCCCATTGGTCTATGTATCTGACATTAAACCAATACCAGGCAGTTTTGACTACTGTGGATGTATAGTAGGTTTTGAGATCTGGCAGTGTGAGACCTCTTACTTTCTTCTTCAATAGTGTTTTGCTTATCTGGCGTCTCTTTCCTTTCCAAATAAAGTTAATGGTTGATTTA